AAAAGAAGCCACATCATAAAAAAGTAGATCCACATCTGAACTTGACGAATAAGAAAACACCGCATGTGCCACGTCAATTTCTGGGTGCCACATAGTGTATTTTTTAACGGTGCTGTGACGGCCCGTTAAAATATTGGGTTTTTCATGGGTTTTGAAAAGGGAAAGCTGTGAATAGGGAGGAAAAATTCTGAAAGGTGTTCACTACAAGAAAAAATAAATGGAGGGTGCAAATGGGGGCTTTGGCCTAATTTATTCTTGTTTCGTGTTGAGGGTGAGGCTATTTTGGCCGTTTATGCACCTTAAACGCCTTCAAACGAGGAAAGACACAATGTAGATGACCGTTGGATTTTTTTCAAATTTGAAAATCCTCACATCTTCTTCTCAAAGGAAACCAGAGTAAAGTTCAAAACTTGCAGAAAATACAGAAGGATTCAAGAAGAAGCCATCGAAGGGTTCTCGACGATGACATCACCTTTAACTAAATCAATCATGGTCACTGCCGTAGAAGAGTGCCGGAGTGAAACCCAAGACAGTTGCTACTACCCTGGATGCAAAAAAGATGCCAATTGCAACTGCGAAATGTGCCGGGCCAGCATCAATGCAACTCTCGATCTCATGCCCATCAGCGTCCAGAAAAGCTCCTTCACTAAGCTTTCCACTCCACGTCCCAAAGTTGGACGCACTCCGGTTACTTTCGATCCTTCGGTTTTGTCGACACCCAGATCGAGGTCTTGCCCTTTTGTGATGGAATCTCCGGATCTGAAATCAACTGCAAGATTGAGGGTGAAAGATAAAGGGGAGAAGAAGAAGAAGAGAGAAAGAGGATTTCTGGGTGTTTTGGGGAGCTTTCTATTGGGTTTGAGTTTGATTTTCGGGGTGGATATTGGGTTTTCCTGGGTGGTTTCTGGGGTTTTGAGGCCAGTTTTAACGAGAGAAACAGTGAAATCTGCGGCGGAAAGGTCTTTGATTGTGAAAGATTTGAATGCCCGATTGAGATTCTTGCAGAATGAGTTGAAGGGTTCTGTTAACAGAAAGGTTTCAAAATGCAGCAATACTGATTCCATCTGGGAAATTAATCAGGTAGCTTACAAATTGAAGCCCAATTCAGTTTCTTCCCCAAAAACTTGACCTTTACTTTCAAATGTTTAACAGGATAGTTTGCTCTTAAGTTCGCGTTGTGTATTGTATAAATCAGCAGTGGAGGAAGTAAGCATATGGGGATGGCCTCTGCAAACAGCAGGATTACTCTCAACTGGATTTTCCTCCATATCATTCACCGTCCTATTTGGTAGAGTCACAGAGGTAATGGCCAAACTGTTTCTTAGTTTCCTTTAATTTATGTACGTTCAATTTAGATGTCAGAATGTGTTAGTAAATCTTTCTGTTCCCAATTTGTTTTGACCTTGTAGTGGAAGGATGGCAATGTTGGGTTTTCAATTAGAAACGCAAATGCATCATGGGTGCAGGGGAAATGGGGTGCCTCTGTTCTTCAGTTAGACCCTAACACTTGGATTCTTGGGTATCAGCAGAGCTCAATTTTAGAAAATTCAAGTTTGTTTTCAGCAGCATTAGATCTCCTGAAGCATAGAATGTCCAGAATGGTAAGAAGGATGAATGAGCAGTTCTGGCTGTTCTCTGCTTTGGACTACCAAATAAGTAGATTTGCAGCTAAAGGACACCTAAAGATCCCAACTTGATGGAGAATTCAGAGATATCAATCTCAGATGCATCTTATTCTCATTGCTTCTGAGAATTTCCATTTTTTGGTTCTCCTCAATTTGTTTGATTTTTTGGAAGACTAGGAACTGCTCACCAGTCAATAATATTTTACATCAAAACAATTTTTTACATTAGATGAGGCATATTTAGAGTATATACGAAGAAAGACTAATCCATTATACTTTCATTGCCAATCAAATACCATCTCAAATGGCTTACTGTTTTTTTATCCATTTCATGATTAAATGTTGCTGAATTTAAGAGTTGGGTTTGGTTTCCTACTTCCCAAGAAAATATTTCCCGGGAAGCAGCCCATATATATGAGTAGGCTTGGCTTGTGAAAAATCCATTTTGGGGCACAAATTCCAATAAAAGCATTTATAATTGACTATAAGTTAATAAAAAAAAAGTGATTGAAAGCTTGATTTTTAAAAGATTTTTTTATTTGAACATGA